TCTCTCTCCTCCCCCGGTGGAGGCAGATGTCTCCTCTCTGACTCTGGTTCTTGAGGTTTCTCTCTGTTCATGAGGAGTTTCTCCTCCACAGACTCAAAGTGCTGCTCATGGTTCACCTGTTGGTTTCTGTAGATGAAGAAGATCTGAAGCTCTTCACCTTCTCTGTGAAGAGTCTGGAGATCATGGATGTTAGGATTTGCTCTCAATTGAACTGACAGAATAATCAAACCTTCATCTTTTATCACAGACTAATGAAATATTTTCTTGCTGGTGGCTTGAAGAGTGTTTGAACCTGAAAGAACAGCAGGAAATCTTTTTGAACCTTGTCAGACCTCAGCAGAGTTCTCTATTTGTTCCTTCAGCTCGTGCAGCTGAAGTCTCTGCTGTGAAGTCCAGGCTGACGGACACTGGAGGTAAACACACCATCAGTTGACTTCAGCATTTGTCTGTAACACAGAACAGGAAGAAGGTGTTCACCTCTCTGTTTCAGGTCAGGCTGGTTGGGTGGAGCAGCTGCAGCTCAGACTGAATTCTGCTGAGAACCACATCCAGCAGCTGCAGACAGACGGAGCAGGTAACTGACTGTGACTGATCAGAACCGTCACACTGAAACAAACACCAACTGTTCAACCTACTGTTTTCAGAACAAACCTCCAAACTGATGAACCTGCAGAGAAACGTGGACTGGAAAGAGGATCTCCTGGACCAACTGAACACTGGTACTGTTCTCTCATCAGTATTAAGTCAGTCCATCAGCTGGACAGAGACGATTTCTCGAGGAATCCTGCAGCATTGAACACGATGATGTCAGACTGAACTCACTCTCATATCTATGTGTTCCTCCTCAGACGTGATGAACAGACTGAGCGTCAGTGAGAAACAGCTGCAGGATCTGAAGACAGAAAACACAGGTGAGACTGTGAACATTTAAAATAAATATTCATATCCATGTTTTTAAAAAGTGACACAAGCTCGGCACAAAATCAAACCTAGTTCTAAAACTGTGGAGGATCCAACGTGGTACCTTAAACAGTGCAGAACAAATGTCAAGTGAACCATAAATAAAAGAATATAAGAATCTTTTTTCTTTATTATTTCCTAATAATCAAAAGACAATTAGACAATGACAATCTGAATGTTGACGTTTATTCAAATGTTGTTTGACTATGAGGATTATTTGTTCTGTGTTTTCAGTTCAGAGCGTTCAGCTCTCGTCGATAGAGTCCAGACTGACGGGTCACAACAACAACACTTCAGGTATATCAACACTTTTATTATCGTCAACACTGGGATTCATTCTCGCTTCATCTCATCGATGGCTCATATTCACGGTTCCTCCTCAGACGTGATGAACAGACTGAGCGTCAGTGAGAAACAGCTGCAGGATCTGAAGACAGAAAACACAGGTGAGCTTTTCTTTATTCAAACAACTTGTTAATGAACGTTTTTAAAAGAGTGAAAGATTTCGTGATTCTTCCAAATGTGGAGGATCCAACACGGTTCCCTGAGGAACTCCTTCATAAACATCTCCTTTCTGATCAGAGCTGGAGGTCCGACTGAGTGATGGTGAGAAACAGCTGCAGGACCTGAGGACAGAAAACACCGGTGAGAGTTTGACTGTTATTTTTTACCTGTGAAGGTTTCAAACTACAGAACATCAGAATGAATGCACTTAATTCAAAATAAAAAGTCGTAGTCAGGGACAGAAAGTCACAGTTTTTAGCTTCAACACATTCGTGGAGTGAAACTGTGGAGGATCGAACATGGTTCCCTGAGGAACGTCTCATAAATCTCTGTACCAGTTTATTGGTTTTATTTCTGACACGTGTGACGACAAGAGGAGAGAAAAGCAACATGAAACCAGATAAGTTCTTTATTTCAAGGAGATCAAATAAAATGGTGCAAACGATGATGGACCAGAGAATCTCCGTGTCGAGTGTCCACGTGCACAAAGAGTCGACTCTAGTTCGAGGTGATTTGTGTTTTCAGTTGAGTGTGTACAGATCTCATTGATGGAGTCCAGGCTGACGGACGCCAGCAGCACCCCCACAGGTCGACTCTCTTTACTTTGAACACTTTGATTGTTTCTTCATGAATCAGATGTTTGTGCTTTTCTCTTCAGACATGTTGAACAGACTGAGAGTCGGTGAGAAACAGCTGGAAGATCTGAGGTCAGAACAAACCGGTGAGACTCTGCAGCTTCACCTGTTCAAAGGAACATTTCATCAAAGCCCCAGAAAGTTTCACACGGTCACACTGCTGGAGATTCTCCGGTGTCCTCGCATCGCTTGTGTCTTTGTGACAAACGTATAAAATGTCACATCTTTTTTTAAGAAACAACCAAAAACATGTTGTCTCGTCATCGTGATGAATTGAATTTTGGTCAAAAAGACAACAAATGCTGTTGTCCACATGTGCTTATATAACACATCCATCTCCTCCAGGTGGCGCTGTGGAATGAAGGGAGGTCAAAAGTTCCACGTTTATTTGTTGTTTAGAATTACACTTCCTGTTTTCAGGTCTGGAGCTCCGACTGAGCGATGGCGAGAAACAGCTGCAGGATGTGAGGACAGAAAACACCGGTGAGATTTTCTTTCTTCAAACTTCATCTTTATTTTTAGTTTTTTCTCGTATCCTCTTCCACATCAAATATTTTCCAACTTAGCTGCACAGATCCTTTCACAAGATGTTATAACATTTATATGATGTTATTTATCCAAACAATCGGACGTAACGATCCATGTGAAAGTAAATTCACAGAAATTGAAAAAGCAAACATAACATTAACGTGGGTTTTATATCAGTTGACCTCCCATAGATTTACAAATCCAGTGGTATATACAGAAGAGTCCATTTTACTCATCTAGTCTTATGACCTCATAGTTGTTCCCCTGTTGTTTCCACTGCTGGTTCAACCTTTGTACAAACACCTCTCTGTAATCTTTGCGTAGAAGTCATCGTCTCCACCGTATAGAGAAGCCACTGTATGGTAGTAGCTTTCTTTGCAGCTGTTTGGGATATTTACATCTTTTTCTTGCAGTTTCCTCCCAAAGATTGTGACCAGAGGGTTTCTCACCATTTCAACACGAACAGCTGTGTTTCATCTTTTCTTAAAAAGGGATTTACAGAAGTTGTCTAACAATGAGCAGTGTCAGTGGGTGTCCTCCTACATCTACTTCACTGAATATGTGGTGTTCTGAAAAATCTGTGAATGATCTTCTATTGAAAGTCTCCACATGATTTAGCAAAGAGAAGTGTGAGGGTCGGGTACAGATCATAATAATAATCAGCTTCATTCGTCAAGCACTTGAAAAAAAAGAGTTTACAAAGTTCTTCGACAGCAAACTACTATTTGATTTTATAATATTTGTATGCTGGGAGATTGAAAACAAAGCAAGAATTTCATTACATGCTTTAAACTGTGTTTATCTGCTGTGTACATGACAATAAACATCTTGAATCAAAGCAGAAAAGTAAAAACAGGACAAATAACAATCGACAGGACAATGTGACAAGAAAACCAGACAACGCTGAGGTGGTCAAACACAAAGTGGTGTTCAGATGGAATAAATAAATATACGACTGTGTCACATGAAAGCAGTGAAAGGACAAAAAAAATGGTTAAATGAAGTAAAAGGTGATAAAAAGACGACATGATGTTAAGTCTTTAAAAATGGGTTTTAAGAGCCGATTTGAAGAAGTCACTGACTCTGCGAGTCTGATCTCCTGAAGGTGGATCCAAAGCCGAGGGGCCTGATTGCCAAATCACCTTTAGTTTCCAACCTGGACTTTTTAACAGCAGGATCCACCCGAGGAACAGGAGGGCTCAACATCTCTGTGAAGTCGCGTGAGGCTTTGAAAGTGATCAGTGAAATCTTCAAATCAATCTGAAAGCAAACAGGGAGCCGATGGAGAGAAGAGAGGATGATGTGATGTCGTCCGAGAGGACGAAGCGACAGTCCAGAGAAAACCAGTGTGTGAATTACTTAGAGTTGTAAAAACTTAATTTCTCAGATCTCTGACCAACTAAAAAACCTTTACTGGGACAAGAAGGGCAGAAATGTCAGAGGTGATGTCACTTCCTGTGCCAGGTCAAAGTTAACAACTAAATAAAATGTCCAACATTGATGAGAAAAGACAGAGTTCAACATAAATGAAGAGGTGAATCAATGTTTTATGTTTTTTACAGAAAAGAAAAAGTCTGACAGAGACCAAGTTATGACAGTTGTAATGATGGAGGTGTTGTTAGTGTGAGGAGGTTACATGTTTGATCCACGTCAGCTAGTTATTATAATAATCCACCATCAGCCATGATGTGAGTCTGTAAGATCACTACATGTGTGATGATAAATGATGGACCGGTTGAATGAAACCATCACAGTCTGACTATGAGGATTATTTGTTCTGTGTTTTCAGTTCAGAGCGTTCAGCTCTCGTCGATAGAGTCCAGACTGACGGGTCACAACAACAACACTTCAGGTATATCAACACTTTTATTATCGTCAACACTGGGATTCATTCTCGCTTCATCTCATCGATGGCTCATATTCACGGTTCCTCCTCAGACGTGATGAACAGACTGAGCGTCAGTGAGAAACAGCTGCAGGATCTGAAGACAGAAAACACAGGTGAGCTTTTCTTTATTCAAACAACTTGTTAATGAACGTTTTTAAAAGAGTGAAAGATTTCGTGATTCTTCCAAATGTGGAGGATCCAACACGGTTCCCTGAGGAACTCCTTCATAAACATCTCCTTTCTGATCAGAGCTGGAGGTCCGACTGAGTGATGGTGAGAAACAGCTGCAGGACCTGAAGACAGAAAACACAGGTGAGCTTTTCTTTATTCAAACAACTTGTTAATGAACGTTTTTAAAAGAGTGAAAGATTTCGTGATTCTTCCAAATGTGGAGGATCCAACACGGTTCCCTGAGGAACTCCTTCATAAACATCTCCTTTCTGATCAGAGCTGGAGCTCCGACTGAGCGATGGTGAGAAACAGCTGCAGGACCTGAGGACAGAAAACACCGGTGAGAGTTTGACTCCAAAGTTTAAAACGATGAGGAGTCAGTGATGATCATGATTGATTGACAGATTGATCAAGTGTTGGTCCTTCACTGTGAACATGCTTTGTTCCAGATGAGCTGAAGGTGGCGTTCTCCGCTGGTCTGACTGACTCAGGACCAGTTGGACCATTTGATGAAGAGACAACTCTGATCTTCTCCAAAACCATCAGCAACATCGGTCGCGGCTATGACCAGATCACAGGTGAACACACACACACACACACACACACACACACACACACACACACACACACACACAGCTGCATTCTCTTCTTCAACAGCTGATCTCAGTGTTAACGAGGCTGCACAGTGCACTGTGAGCTCAGACCTGTGTTCTCTCTTCTTCTGAAATCTGCTGATGACACTAGTGAATCTGCAGAATACAAACCCACAGAATATCTGGAACACTAAGGTCCTGCAGAAGGTCATTCTCACCCTCTGTGGACGATGAAGTTCTATTCAAATTACAACAAACGTGATCTCGAGGCACTTTACACATTATGGTCGAGACCCAACAGCTCTGACAGCTGAGGAGAGAAAATGTCATTGTGACGTTCAGGTGTGAAAACGACCGGAACCCTAAAACCAGCTGTGTTGACAAAATGTGTTTGTTCCTCAGGTGTGTTCACGGCTCCTGTCAGAGGCGTTTACTTCTTCAGCTTCACGGCTGCAGATTACCTGAAGGGCTACATGGGTCTCTACCTGTACAGGAACAACCAGCCCATCCTCTTCCAGCTGGACCTGAACGACCACGGCGGCTACACCTCCACATCCAGCGGCGTGACGCTGCAGCTGGAGGAGGACGACCGAGTCCATCTCAGTCTGCCGGCGAGCTACCGACTCTACGATGACTCTCGGAACTTCAGCGTCTTCTCTGGTTTCCTGTTGTTCTCACTCTGAAGGGGTCAGGGGAGACGTCCCGAGCAACAAACAATCTGTCACTTATCACCCTGGAACACAGTTTGTCAGATGGGCTTTTATTTTGGTAGAGTGGGTGACTTCCAACCAGTGTGAAGCAACATAAACTTTATTAAGTCTCGTGTTTCTGACACGTCTCAGGGTTCATTCCTGTTTTTTCTGGAGCGTTAGATTTATATATCAGAACTGGAGGAAATATTCAGTAAGGAAGTAAAAGTACCTATACATCAAAGTAAAAATACTCAATTTTAAGTGAACATTGTGCTTTTAATTCCTTCAGTTGAAACAACACTGTGACGTGAATGAAAAGGTTTTGGGACAATTCAGAACATTTACTGAAATAAAACCATGGAAACGACACAAAGGATCCGAGCGGCTATAATTTTAAGAATTATATTAAAAAGTGCTTCGTGTATTCATATAAAGTGAAGTATAAAAACACTAAAGGTTTGAAACTTTGCATCTGATTCTTTGTTCAACACAATAAAAACACATTTTCATGTGAACATACATGTCCTCGTGAGCTGACGTCACACTGACACAAACACACTGAGGATAAAACCTCAAACCTGGATGATGGAATAAATAGAGCATCTTCTCGACCAATCGGCTTCAAGCTCTTATTAAAACACAACCATCGAGAGAAGCCTCAAACTTTTATTGAATTGAAAAACATGAAAATATTTCAAACTGAACTTTGACCTCTTTGATTGACGGAAAAACCCGTCGCTGGATTTAAACCGGACAGACCGGAAGTGAAAACATACAAGTGTTGATCATTTCCATCAGAAACAGGAAGTCTGTGTGACGACAATTTGCTTCTCTACAACAATGAACACTGGACTAAAGATGCTTCAGACTGACGGACACAAGCTCCTCCAGGTTCAGTCTCTGAAACTAATGAGGAAGAGGAGGTGGAGGGTTGTCACTCAGCAGGGGCCGCTGTTGTTCCTCCTGTGTACGGCCTGCAGCAGGAGCAGTGAGTATTCCTCCAGCAGAGCGGCTGTCTTCACCTCCCCTACTCCACCAAGCCCCCCCCCTACCCCCAGCATGCCCGGCCCACTGAGCGGGAGGGAGTCAAGCTCCGCCCTCATGGCCTGGAAAGCCTCTGATAGGAGGCTAGCCATCTGATGCTGGTCGGGGGCGGAGTCATCAGTGGAGGAACCACTCAGCTGGAAGAGAAGGAGGAGTCATCATCACATGACCAGCTGTGTAACCACATAGTCATTGATGACACACGGTTGGTCAACACTCACCTTCCTGTACAGGTGAGTGGCTCTTTTGAAACAGCTCTGCAGCTCATTGGTCAGAGTCCTGCAGGTCTCCACACTGACTGGTTGGTCTGCACAGAGAGAGAAGCAGCAATTAACATCACTCTGTTACTCTTTCACTCTATTACTCTGTTACTCTTTCACTCTATTACTCTGTTACTCTATTACTGTTTCATTCTATTACTCTGTTACTCTGTTACTCTATTACTCTGTTACTCTTTCACTCTATTACTCTGTTACTCTGTTACTCTATTACTCTATTACTGT